TTCCTACTATGACTTGCCAAAGGTAGGTGGAGCCAAACACAGGCAAGCACTTTTATATTGAAATTGAATATAAAGTTGTGGTATTCTACCCTCATTCATTCTCTGCAAGAATCCAAGCACTTACTTTTCTGTGCGGCTAAAACACAAAGGCTTTAACCATGCTGACTGCAGCAAAACTACTATAATAGGAGTACATTTATAATACTTAGCACTTTACAGCAATAGCATTTAACTTTTCAACCATCGACTTCCAAGAGCTCAGCATCATCAAATCCATTCTGCACATGGGGAAACTTGACACATGGAAACTATCCCAAGGTCACTTGACAGTTAAAACTGGAATCCAGTACTTCTAAACCACTAATTAGTCCTCCGGGCACTCAGACACATTCACTTCCAAGGCTACTTAAAGCTAGAAAAGATCGCTTAATTAGCACTCGTATTTAGCTGTTTTAATAGACCTCTCTTTCTTACTCTCCTCTTCAATTCCATTTTTAGATACTTTTCTTAAAGCTCAGTGTAGCATTGCAGTCTGCTGTATGTTATGCAAGTTCAGCTTTATTCTGTCTAGCAGAAATGAAATTCTTCACAGTGCATACTTCAAAATAATTAACACAGATCAGTATAGCAAAAAACCTAGCAGAGATCAACCTGTCAAAGCAACCAGTTTGCACATTCCTCTCTCTCCTCCTCCAGTCAGGGAACAACTGAATAAACCAAAGACTGTTCTTGGCTCTTGTGCAAAATCCAAGCTCTTGCCCTTGCTCTTCACGGGTACAGTGAGAAAAAGGATATGGAGTCTATGATCCACTGCAATGCTAAAGCATGGTTAAGGAGAAGGAGATCAAGAGACAGGATACAAAACAGAGAGACAGTGGTGGTAGAAAGAGGAGGAAGAAAATTTGAATAGAGCAGCAGGCATTTTTGGAAGCAATTGCATCAGTATCTGCAAGTACATACAGCTGAGAAAAATAATTTTCACTGCAATGTACTTAAAATTAGTAAATCCCTTAAATACAATATGAATAGGATCATTCAGAGGACTTTTAAAAAAGCAGAACAAGATCCATATGGGTCCAATGAGGACAACATGCACAAGGTAGAACTAAGACTTTATCTTCTGTGCTATGCCACACAGCAAGTGAATCTTCCCATACAATTCTATGATCTCGGAAGAAAAAACACATTTCTTGGCATTTATGTGACAAAGTCACAGCTTCCAAGTTCTATAGAAGTTCTCTCTAATGTCAGACAGGGACCTCAAACTGCAGAAATAGCAACTGTCACAAAACTATACACAAAGCTCCAAGCAATGGCTGAGGCAGACTACCTAAAATATATTTCAGCTTCCTTTTACCAGATGGTTTAGCCTGCTTGAAAAGAAAACAAGATTGCTAAGTCGCATTACATCTTCATTAGCTTTCCACAACTAAGTCCTGAAATCGACTGTTACGTTACAGCTGAACACATCAACAATCAAATACAAGGTTTAGTTATTAACTAGGAGTACTACTTTTTCTCAAGTTTTTCCCAAGGTTTTGTCAAATTTTGATGTTTTTCTTTCTTTTCCCCTTTAGAGACTTTAGTAGGTTTTACACTAAAACTTGGATCAGCTAAGCAGAAGATATGTACCCTCTAGCAGGCTAAAATCCCATCTACCATCAACTTTATCATGTTTCCACAAATACCCCCTCTGTTCTGCTGACATTAAAGCACATTGCAGCATTTTAGAGGGCCCTACGAATTAAACCATGTGAAGTATAAAGCTTTTATTTAGAACTGTTCCTGAGGCTGGCAAAGCTCCTTTCTGTTTGAGAAGTGTTCTGCCTGCTAAATGAACCTAGACTTTTATTTCCTGTTGCAATTTTTATTTTATCAGAAACATTGCTCCCTTTTTACATTTTATCAGAAGCATTGCTCCCTTTTTACATTAGCATTAATCCCAATAAATGCTAGTTGTAGACAAATGTACTGGGCACTGCAGGTAGACTAACCTTAATAGATTTTCTTAAGTCTCATTCTAATGCACATTAATAAACCCTAATGTATATCAAATTAATCTAATTAATTTTCAACTTCCAGTAAAACAGTAGCATTTACCACTGATGCAAGTTGTTAGATTCTAGTTAGAATCCTACTTTTTAACTGGGTACCACACCAAACTCAAAAGAAAATGTAATGAACATTAATCAATAACTCCAGATTGAAAAGTTGATAAAGGTAATTGTTATTGCCTTGATTTTTTTTTTTAAGCAGCAGTCAAATCAGAAGTATAAAAACAAAACAAAAGAAAAGAGCAGTTCTCTTAAACATTCAAATAAATCTGTGTTGCAAACCACCAGTGTGACAATTTTTGGGTCCCATTTTGAGCCAGAACACTACTTTACATGAAGTCAGTATAAGAAGCACGACTGTGTTTCTCATTAGTTAACGACATAAAGAAGAAAAGGAGCAGTGACTGGGTCTCAATCTCTAAATAACTGTCATTAGCAAAAGACAATTAACAACAAAACAGCTCTTATAAAACAGAATAATGACTTCCTGCAGACAAGGTGATGCCCTCTTAGCCACAGCCTGGCTCAAGGAAGCTAAGCAAGAGGCCACTAAGTGATGACCTTTCATCATCTGAGTGAGAGTTTTGAGAACAAGTGAGAAAATCACTCAACAGGTGGATGTGAAGCCATGAAAGGATTAGGTGTCCATGCTCCCACTCACAACAGAGACAGTAATCTTTTGATATGCAAATGGAGAGACCAGAAGAAGGGAACTAAGAATGAGGGGGGACTCACGAATGGTCGTCATGAAAAGCTGAGGTCCACAGCCAGATGTTTGGGTACCTTATTTTGGATTGGAATCTATATACTCATCCTACAGTCCCAAAGTAAAGTGTGACTGGTTTAGAAGACCTGCAAAAACGTGCATTTTAATGGATTACAGTTTTTTGTTTATTATTAGTATAGGTGTTAAACTGGAAAGCAGAGTATCACGAGCAGGGTATTCTGGGATGGAGTTCCTTGAAGAAGGGAAAAGAAAAGTGTTCTCAGACACATGAAAAGCATGCCCTATTTCTACTAAATGAGCAAAGAACCTCTGTGTCTGGCATCAAAAGCATTAATCCAGAGGGCAAAGAAACTGCCTGGAATCTACTTAGCCAAGAAGATTTAAGAAGTACAGACCTCAGCAAGCTGCCTAAATACATTGTACAAAACTTTGGAATAATCAGAAATGCTCTATACACAAATCAAAACCTTGAAATTAGTAATATATAATTTTATCATAACATTAAGAAGACACACATGAGAGAAAAAACCTCTAGAAGATTAATAACGGTATCCAGGGATAAATCTAAATCAAGATGTATTAGTGGAATGTGTGCTAAATCTGGAAAATTGGGAAACTGAAGGAAGATTCTCCAGTTCCTCACAAGATCAATACAGACATTGCTGTAAAGACAATAAAAGAATAAAGAAAATAAAGAAATAAAGAAAATATTAGTAACTTATTTACAGGTGGATAATCAACTTTAAGGGTCAGAAATAGCATTTTTATCATATAGCTACAAATTTTTCTTCTGAAATTAAATTCTTCTGAGACTTTTTTTTTTTTCTGGAGTCAGTAAAAGCTATTTTAAGTGCAGTTCATCAGCATCCACAAACCGGGATGCCTGTGCTGTTGCTCATATGGATGAACTCAGGATAAATGGAAGACAGAGGTGTAATACGAAATGGTTGCATGACTAAAGTAGAACAAAGCACTAGCTCCATAGTTCTCTGTGTTGCTGGAAAAGATACTCCTATCATTCATCTGCCTCCTCACTGGGGGAAAAGGGGTGCCTGTAGGTTTTCCAGAGTAAAAGTCAGAGAAGGATCGGGTGCCCTAGAGAACACAACCACCTTTACCTTCAAAGACTGGCATTTGGAAACATGGTATCATCTATCTGGGATGCCTAGGATTTTAAGGCCCTGTGTCAAAGGGCACACACTTCATTCACAGATATCATAGGAAAGCTTAAATTTCAAGTGGGTATTTATGGGAAACATAAAGAAGGAGCAATGAGTCTTTTTTGAGCACAGGAATATCATCAGCATTGCAAAGGAACTTTGCTCTTGTCTTCATCCTGTGTTCTCCACTAAAGGGAAAGATGAAGAATAAACAGCTATCTCTGTCACATTTGCTCAGCTGCTTTACTTACCAATGTTCAAAATTAACCCACAAGGAATTGAGTCACTGCATTCACCCTTCTTATCTGAGTTAAAAGGCCTTGGTCAGTGCTACATCATCACAGATAGGGCTGCTTTTGGAACTTGGCCTGCAGTGCATACAAGGACTATCACAGTTGCCATCCAAGGAATGGCCCCTTTGCTGCTGTAAAATATTTGCTTGAATTTGCTTTGTTTTTCTGATGCTATCTTTAAATGTGGTGGCTCTGTTACCCTCAGAAGGGTGAGATACTGAATCCCTGATACCCTCTGCAAATAGAAGCCTGGTAGCATATTCTTAACAGATGTTGCACTGCTGTTTTCTCTGGGAACTTGCCAAAGTAAGCTCAAAGCATCCCCACCAATAAGCTGGTATTTAGAAAAGCACTCCAAAACAGCCACAGCTGGATGATCTATTCACCAATATTCTTTTTTCCATTCCCCACCCATCAATGGGATTTGCTGCAAAACGATTAACTGCTTTACCACCATCTGTGCTCAGGTTCCATTAGTAACCCAGGTGTTTCAGGAGACCCCAGTCCTGCACAAGCTATGTCCAATTACTGCTTGCTGATACATCAGTTCAGCTAAGCAAGCCTGGAAAATGCAACAGGTGACCAAACACTCTCAGAACAAATTAACCTCTACAGAAACCAGGCATGTCACACCTCAGGAACAAATCAACTCCTACATAAACAGGTACTTCATGTCCTATCCCACCAGATTTAACTACTGACAAACAGAAGGAAAAGCTCCGGTCAGGCCACAGTTGCTTTGCACAGGTTGCTGAACAGCCTTTACCTTGCTTGCTGACAGACGCTGCAAATCCAAGCCTTCTCCTTCTTCTGGTAAGTACTGCAGTTCTTGCAGATGTTGTACTTGCAGTCTTGGCACTGTCGCTTGCTGTTGATAAGAAATGTGAAAGGGGAACAGCAGCGAATACAGCAGTGCTCATTGAACTTCTGCTGCTTGGAAAGGATGCTGCACTTGTTACCCTCTTCATCCAACTTCTGCTTCATCTCACTGGAATGAAAAGCAAAAGAACAAAAATGTAAACAAAATTTCAGTGGCAAATCATTCTCCTCTCTCCACATATTCATTGCATAATCTTCAAATAACTTTTGCAGATGTGAAATAAATGTCAGGAACGCATATTCTAAATTTAGAATTGAGAAGCAAAAACTCCTGCATTCCTTCGAGTCACCCACGGCCAACCCATTGAAACTCTCTGAGTCACAAACCAGGGCAAAATTTACTCTGCTCCAGAGAGACAACCCTCAGGAGAGCCAGGCTGCTATGACAGGTACTCCATTTGTACCAAACATTAGTGTCCTTTAATAATATACCATTTCAGAGAGATTTGGGTGCTTAACTAGTTAGGACCAGTACTAAGACAACTACCAACTGTGAAAGTGTTTGCAGACAGTCTATATAAAGTTTCCTGTATTCCAGCAAAAAGGCTCACTTATAAAAAAAAAACTAAAATAAAATGTGTATGCATGGTATTAAGTACTTTGCTATCTTCCACTTTACAGTGCTTTTGATATTTACAAATGAGGCAATATATTCCATGATAAGAGTAATAAAAAATCATGCAGAAGGAAGAGCTGTGTAAGCAGACAAGTCTGTAAATTCATCACACATTTTCTGGCATGTACAACTAGGATATACCCTAAGAGAAGAAAAAATTAGAATTAATGAAAAATATGTAAAATGAAAGACTATAAACCAGCATGCTTACATTCACTCTTGTAGTTTCTCAGAATTAGTGGTGACTATCTTACTATTTTCAATTGCTAATAAAAAACAGTTATAAGACTAGAGTGACACAGAGGTCTAAACAAAATTTAAAGGTACCACAAAACATAGACTAAGTTGCAGGAAGACAAGAGTCATGACATGCTGATTTACACTTAAATTAATGCTTAAATGTCTTGCTACAGGGAAAAAAAGGAATACACTTATTGCATACTTATTCAGGAACTCAACCAAGATAATCTATAAACATCATTATGAGCCAAGCCCGGAACATTAAAAAGGATCACATTATTGGGCTATACATCTTATTTGCCACTTCTGCCTCAGATCCATAACTCAAAATAAAACCAGCCTATTTTTTAGACTGTTTTAGACTAGCTGCTCAAATCCAAATAAATACTCTTTGGACTTCTAAGTAAATAATCTTTCTTTGTGATTTTTTGCCCAGATGGTAAAACACGATCCTTTTCCCACACTTTTAAAGAATGTAAAAGATGAAAAAAGTAAGATATTATCAGGTAAGTGAGGAAATATCTTCTTTATGCAAGTCAAACTGGTTTCCTCGTGTAAACTGATAGAACTACCCCACTAGTTTGGGGGACTAGTTTGTCTTATCTCCACTGCTCCCTCCTACCATGGTACTACATGGGCAATCTCTCTAGGGGAAGTGAACTGTTCTCCACGTCGCTCCTCCATCCATAGCACACATGCTACTCCTCAGCAACGGAGCGAGACAGAGCAGTGTTCCTTCACAGAAGGAACCTTCAGGTGACCCTGGGTCCCAGAAGGGAAGCTGATGAAGGTGAGGGCTCTATGATTCGCAGAGGAATTCTGGCATGGAAAAGTGTCAGCAGCTCAAGGTGCTGCAAAATGTGCTTCAGGATGGAGACTGCAGGGCTCTAATGCATGATAGCAAGATAAACCACAGCAGCAAAGCCACCAATTAAAGTGCTCCAATAACGCTCACACAATATAAAACCAGGCAGTTTCATTCTTGACAGAGCTAATAAAGCCTGATACCTAGAAAAAGCTGAGCACACACTGAACCTTATCATCAGAACAGCATTAATTACATCTCTCTCCTCCATCGGGCTGCCAACATTCATTACAGTGGTAGAACCTCAATATCGTTAAGGCATCTGCCTCAATGTTAAATAGGACTAAAACTGGCCAACGGATTAAGAAGGTAAATAGGATAGGTCTAGACAGGCTGGCAGATAGAGAGCATGACAGAAAATGCCTTATTTCCACAGGATACCAGGCAGAACAGAAAAGAAAGCAATGCACATCTCTCTGATGGCTATAACAAATTAGGGTTCTCATGCACTGCCTGCCAAAGACTTCTAGTTTCTATAAGGAGTCAAATGGCAAAGGGGACTGTCAACTAGACTTGTCATTTCAAGCCAAAAGGCTATGGTCCACACTCTTTCCTTGAAAGCAAAACATGCGTTTCACATGAAAGCAAAGTGCTGCACAACTCTGGTAGGCAACTCAACTTGCCTGGCTTGAGGAAAATTAGTCAAAATGAAAAGTTAGTTCTGGTTTACTCCCAGCAATATGAGAAAACCTGACTTGCACATGACTCCAGCTGGATGATTACTGTGAGTGGGATGATTAATGCGGGCTTTAATCTCAATACACTGAGAAAGCTGCACTGAAATTCAGGAGTTACAAATTGAAGCTCAAGGCATCCTGAGTTTCAAAGTCTCAGGCTTTGCCTTCAGGACATTCAAATGGCTTGGTACAAGAAGATTGCAAGAATGGTCTAAGGAAAGGAGAGCAGTCAATCTCTCATGCAGTAAAGTGCACTTCCAAAAAGACGACAGCCGCCTGTGCAGAAGCTATTCCTACAAAGCAGGTCAAACCACCCAGTCATTGCAAACATTCCCCCTTCCTTCCCAAGCAACACCTCTTCCCTCCACAAAACACAGATGAGGGGGATGGGACAGAGAAAAGAGGGAGAAGCGCACATTCATGTGTGCTTACTTCCCCAATGAGGGAACGTAAGGTATTTATAGATATGTATATATACATATTTTGTGTGCAAATAAAACAAGCAACAAAAATGACTGCACAAAAAATGTCCCTTTTGGGGAAAGCACAGAAGAGTGGGAACCACAAATGATAGAATTTATTCACATCACAAGTCATAACTGATAGTGCTCAGCTATTATGGTTATGTGTAGCATAGTAATAAGCATCCGTGGAGAAGTCCTGCTGTTTGAATAAATCTCACAATGCATTTAATTTTCAGTCTCACGTGGTTGCATTTCACTGACTGCTTACAAAAGAAGCAAAAAGTACTCAATAGATACCCAAAACGTCTGTCACCAAAACTAATTCTGTCAAAAAAAGTTTTACTGAACTATAAGTTCAATACATATGCAGATGCATATTTAGATTCTTCCAGAGGCTTTTATCAATTAATTTACATTGTTTGCATAAAAAAATATGTAATTAATTTCAGTGAATGTTTTGGGTGATAAAATCAGAGTATGCAATTCCCATACAGGGTAGGAATACTTTCCAGCACACTGTTTTGGATGAAGGTTTCGCTATTATACTCTGAGGGTGAATAGTTGTCTTCCCCTCATCACTCACTACGTTTTTGTGACTTTTTAAAATATAAATTAAATAGCTTTAACTGGCATGGTTTGTTTCTTCTTAGTGTCTTTGAGGATTTTAACTGAATTAGTGAAATACCTTGTCTGATAAGTCACCTTTGGACCTTATGAATGGCATCCCCTTTTGTTTCTACAAATAACACTACTATAGACTTGTAAAAGTAGGATGAAACTTGGAAAACTGAAGCTACAGGATTGCCTTCCTTGCTCTTCACTGCCACTGATTTACAGAGTGATTTGTCCAAAGTCAGAAGGTTTTTACATGCTTCGTTTTAACTGCTGTACAATATCAATAACAGTAAAAGTAACAATGGCAATAATAAACTTTTCTTGTCTACATATATAGATAAATATATCATAGAATCATTTATGTTGGTAAGGACCTTTAAGATCATCAAGTCCAAACGTTAACCCAGCACTGCCAAGTCAATCACAAAACCATGTCCCTAATTTGACAGATCTACATGTCTTTTAAATACCTCCAAGAATTGGTGGCTCAATCACTTCCCTGGGCAGCCTGTTTCCATGCTCAATAACCATTTAGGCGTAATATCCAATCTAAACTTTCCTTGGCACAACTTGAGGCCATTTCCTCTTGTCCTTTCCCATGTTATTTGGGAGAAGAAATCGATCCCCACCTCACTTCAAACCTTCTTTCAGTTAGTTGTAGAACACCTTTGCAGCATCTTTCATTTAGTGACCAGTCGAGTTTCCTTCCCTGGAAATATTCAAAAGCTGTCGCTGGTTACAATCCTGAGTACCATGCTCTAGGAGACCCTGTGTGAGTAGGGAATGTTTGACTAGATGACCTCCAGCAGCCCTTTCCAACCTTACCTATTCTGTGATTCTGTCATACAGTCTTCTCCACTGGTGTACTGTAGTAAGCAACACATTTACAACTAATATTCACGGCAAATGACCCTCAAACTTTTCTTGCCACAAGACCTGATTGCCTTATCTAGATAAAATTCTATTTCAAGTCATTTTATAGTATACAGCAAACTGAGTTCCTACTTATAAGCAAGTAGGATAAGATGTATTCCATGCATTATTGTAATACTGTTTTTACTTTGGACTTAATACTACTTACTACTATTCTGGTGGGATTCAACAGGACTGAGGCATTTTTTTCTGTGCTATTGCAATGGCCTCAGCTTCAAAAACAGGCTGGCAGGTTTAAGTATAATTCTTTAGTGTTTGCCTGAACAATGCCTTCTCCTCCAATAAATATCTTTAGAACAACTGGTATTTTGCATGTCCTGAATACAGAAACTTTTTGTTTGTTTGTTTTTGCCCAGCAGTGTGAGAAGGATCGTTTTTTTCTCTAAGCTACAGTTGGATACTCACAAAGCTCTATGACTGTAATTATTCCATATTTTAATAAATGAAACAAATTCTAGATGACCCTGTATGCTTCCAAGCAAGGGGCATTACTGTGATTACATACTCAAGGGCTGGGGCAGGTGGGGCTATAACCTCAAACTGCAAAGCCAACAATAATATACATGTTGGCAACTTGCCATAGTAAGACGACGCTATGAAGTTTTAAAAAAAAGCTGGAAAGAAGCCTATGATGAGTTTGAGAAACAGTTTAAAAAAGTCTTTGCTGCATATATAAGGTAAGGATGATCAAACTCCAAG